AGAGAGACAGAGACAGACAGAGACAGACAGAGAGAGTGAGTGTAGGAAGTGCAAGAGTATCGTAGGCCTAGTTTATGTATGCATGGGTCAAAGGTTCAGCCAATCGTAGCCCGCTTACGCCCTCTGTGTAGTCGCACGTAGGTTAAAGGTTTCTCTACTTTAACTTTTCCAGGTAGTCGGGTACAATCGTGGCGGGGCTGTTGTGTGCACTGAAACCTCAAGAAAGCGACTCGACCCAATCAGCCCGACCCGCGCCGACCCGAACATGTATGTGGGGCACCCCTATTACCGGTCTGCAACTGAAAAACACCCTTTATGTAAAATCTGTGGGGAAAAAACCCACTTCAGTGCAGAAACAGTAATTGAAATATGACTATTAATAAGTTATCTAACTGATCTATTTTATCTATCTGCACCTCCGGGTGGCTCTTACGCTTTGGTTCTCACACGGCCGCAACTCTCACTTGTGGCTCCCCGTAGCTGTTAGCATGCGGCAGCGGCCATACCACGGGCAACTGCTTCGACTGGCAGGCTAGTCCTTACCAAGAATTTGGACGTGGTCAAAAGAGAAGCCCTGTGGACTGTCCTACTACGGATTGGCTGCCTTCCCAAATTCCTAAAGATCATTCAGCTCTTCCACACAGGCATGTGTGGGCAAGTTCTTGCAGGTGGAAACATGACTGACGAATTCGAAATTACAAATGGCGTCAAACAAGGCTGTGTCCTGGCACCAGTCCTCTTCAATATCTTCTTCACCGTCATGCTTTTCCACACCTGCAAGGATCTTGGCAGCAAGGGAATATACATAAATTACCGACCGGATGGGTCCATTTTTGATTTTCGTCGCGTGCAAACCAAGATAAAAACCAGCACAAAACTCCTTCAAGGGGGTTCTTCGCCGATAACTGTTCCTTGAATGCTCACTCGAAAGCGGACCTGTAAATAATACTCAGTCATTCGCAGAATCCTCAAAGCTTTTTGCACTAACAATAGGCATCGGGAAAACAGAAGTTCTTCAACAGCCTGCCCCACAAGCTAAGCCGCTGTCTCCAAACATTACTATCAAAGGCAACAGCCTGAAAAGCACCGAGACCTTTAAATACCTAGGACGTATCATCTCTGCAGACGGCTTCTTCGACTAGGAGATTGATTCACGAATCAGCATAGCCAGCCAAGCTCTCGGTAGACTGAAAAATAAAGTGCTGAACCAGCACAATGTCCGGCAGTCAACAAAAATCAAAGTGTGCAAAGACGTGCTCTCCTCCCTCCTCTACGATTCGGAGACCTGGACACTCTACCGGACGCACATCAACAAATTAGAGCAGTTCCACCAAAGGGCTATCCGCAGCATACTTGGGATCCGGTGGCAAGACTGCATCGCCAACATTGTGGTCCTCAACCGATCAAGCTCACAATGCATAAAAAGCATGCTTGTCAAAGCCCGTCAGAGATGGGATGGCCATCATGGAGGACCACCGAATGCCCAAACAACTGCTGCACGGCGAACTTGCTAGTGGCAAAAAGAAATCTCGGGGGGGCAAAAAAGCGTTTCAAAGACACGATAAATGCAAACTTCTAGTTTTCACAGGTTACATCCCACAAAATTGGAAAAAACTGCCACCGAAAGGAACGCCTGAAGCAGGGCGTACATCTTGCCAACAGAAACAGCAAAATCAACTACGGGGAGAAGCTGACTATCAGAAGAGAGAGAGGAGACATAATCCAACCACCCCAACCACGACATTCCAGTGTCTCCACTGCAACAGACATTGTACATTCAAGATCGGATTGCACAGCCACATGCGCGTCCACAGATGAGCTGCAGGATTTCATCGTCATCTTCGGCAACAAAGGACTATCTATCTATCTATCTATCTATCTATCTATCTATCCATCTATCTATCTATCTATCTACCTATCTATCTATCTATCTATCTATCTATCTATCTATCTATCTATCTATCGTATCTATCTATCTATATATCTATCTATCTATAGAATTATCTATCTATATCTATCTATACATCTATCTATCTACCTATCTATCTATCTATCTATCTATCTATCTATCTATCTATCTATCTATCTATCTATCTATCTATCTATCTATCTATTATCATTATTATTAATATTGTCATTATGATAATTATTATTATTGTCATTCTGTATTATTATTATTGTTATTACTGTTATTATTTTATCATCATCATCATCATCGTTAAGTATCATTATCATTATCCGTATCATTATTATTATTATTATTATTATTATTATTATTATTATTATTATTATTATTATTATTATTGTTGTTGTTAACATTGTTATTGTTGTTATAATTATTATTACTACAAACTCACCCCGAACACATTTGCTGATAATTAAAGAAAATTCTCCAATCAGATTTGATATAATAAAAAACCGAATGGTCAGTTTTTCTCCAGCACAGAATTCTAAAACGAATCTACCCGGTTGTACAGGAATGTAATCCAGCTCAATAACA